TTTAAAAAAAAAAAAAAAAAAAAAAAAAAAAAGCACATTGCTCCATGGGCTGTTCTGTGTATACTAGACTGTAATATTGCAATCTTAGATGGTTCGTCGTCTCTCTCGTGTGCATAGTGAAGCACCCCTCGGTTTGTTACTGCTCAACATCAGTGGTGCTACAGTCTGGGTCTGAGCTCTCTGTACATTTCCCTCCACTGTGTCCTGATCGCGCTGCAGCTTGTGCTCGCGGGGGGGGGGGGGGGGGGTGGTAACTGCAGCCAGTTGTCTTGACATTTTAACTTCCACATCTTATCTTGCTCTGCTCTCTGGTATTTAAAAATGTTCTTTTGGCTTCCATTGTATGGCGCAAGGCGGGCGAGTGTATGAACAGACGCTGCCCTCTGAATACGAACAGTTGTGTTGGATCTGGTGGAGGAGGCAGCGAGGGCATTTGAGGAGATTTGGGCCATTAGCATTTATACTTTTGTGTTTTTCTGTGCTTGTTGATGTTGCCATTTTTAAAAAAAATCTGGCATTAAGTTACACAAAACTGACTTCTTGTTGGCCATAATCCATAGACAAAAGTGACATAATCAGGTTCCCATATGGTAAACGCCAAATAGTTCAGGCTGAAAGCATTCTCTGCAGACAGTGGTGCATCTATAGGCTTCTCCATGTAAAACAGGGTGATCAAAATGAGTAGTATGTGACGTTACTGTAGTCCTACAACCTTTCTTTTGCTTGTTGAGAGGATGGTCCTCTACAGGGAAATCTGATAATCTCCCATCCTCCCACCCCAAGGCTCCTCTTTTTTTCAAAGCACTAGAATATGCATTTATAAAGATAGAACCATTATTTAGCGTTGTAGCCTGCAAACCAAAAACAGGTTCTTGAAGCTGGGTAGCTGGTTAATCAAGGGTGGGGGGGGACTGACTGACTGTTTGTGTGGAGAAAGTAAAGCCTGACCATGTGGAGTTTATAGCTCCACCCCCTCAGGATGTGCAATCACCTCAAGGGTGCAGGCTTCCAGGTTGTGAGTGACGAGTTCGGCCTCGTTGTTTTGTGGCTGTGTGCGTAGCGAGTTCTTCCTATTATATGCAAGTTCCTCGTATATTTCAAAATCCCCCCCCTGTTGTTTCATGTACAGGTGCCTGTGTGAAAAAGATATACTTTTACAGCAATTTTGATTGTTTGAAATCTGCTTCCAGCATATATCTGTGCCATTTCTTTTCTTTCTTTCTTTTGTAACATTTGCAACGTTGTTTAAGTTTTCTTACACCTAATCCTAATTTTGTCTTTTAAGCAACGTGGATGCAGCTGAAAGCAATGAGCAATTTATGTGTTTTGTAGGTTTTTGAAATTGTCATGGGTTGTGCTCAGAATCGTGTGACCTGAAGCCAAAATCAGTTTGAATGGGACGGATGATGACCGCTTGCTGGCGTATACTCATGCCTGTCCATTGTCTACGTTAATGTCTGAAGTAGCACATAATTGATTTGAACTGATTTAACAAATTAGTGTTTTAACATGTTTTTAAAAGGTTTTTGTTGTTGACTTATAACCTAATTTATCCATAGATGCACAAGTAGGATGAGACTAAAAGGAATAAATGATACAGAAAATCAAGATGTCTCATTTTTCGTGAGTTTCAGATGATTTAGTTACTAAAGATAAAGGCTGATGTAGACCTTATAGCACCAATGTCAATATATTTGAACTATTTTCCATCAGATTGTGTTTTTTTTTTTTACAAACTACTTTAACTAATTTCTTCAAATAGTTGCGATGGAGTGAGGAGCATCGAAACACACTGCATCCCGGGGTTCCTCTCAATATATATATATATTTTTTTTGTAGTGATGTGGATCATGTCGTGAGGGGGAGTGAGGTATTAACGTACGGTTCAACAACTCTGAAATCTGCTTTCGCCAAAGGTACACTACTCAGATATTCAGCAGGTGAATGGCGAGCGCACAGACCGTCACCGGGGACGTTGTTGATGATGTCACAACCAGCGAGCTGACATTGCGCTGGCTTTGGAGGAGCGTTGAGTGAACAGAAGTCACTACTGTAGCAGCTGAATGTCACTTTGAGCGTGTTGTCATACGGTGCGAGAGAACAAGCAATCTTCAAAAGATAAAACAAATACCGAAAGTGCTGCTTCTTCATCCAGTAATCAATCGTCTGTAATGGGAAATGCTGGACTTTGGTGTGTGTTTGTGCTCGACTTTAAAAACTGTCCCTCCTTTAAACGCTCGTTGCCTCTTGTTGAAATGTTTTTGATTTTGGGGGCTTTTGTTTTTTTGTTTTACACCTGAGAGGTACAGTGTTTGATTCCACACGTGATAAATAAAGTGAATAAAAAAAAAAAAAAAAAAAAGGGCAACATGTGTCTTTACAAGGTTCAATTATGAAAAGAGGTGATGAGTTTCGCCAAGTAATCTTTTAGTTCTGTTTCTGTGTGTCATCTCCAATGGCTGTTGTGCTTGTTGATGCAGTTTTGTTTTTTGATCTGCTCCTCTTATCACCCCCCCCCCCAAAATATGAGGCAACAGCATTTCTTTCTCAAATGTCTTACAGGTTGACATTTAAGCTTTTAAGTGAGCAGTCTGATTATTTCATTTTTGTTTGGAATTTAACAGAAGTGTCACATTACAATGTTTTTTTTTTTTTTTTTAAGCATGATAATAACCCTCAAATTTCAAACAATGTACTAGAGTCGATATATTAAAAACAAAAAAAAAAAACTTCGTGTTCACAATTTTAGTTTCCATTAAAATGTCAAATTTTCATGAATTGTGTGTTTTGTGTGTGTTGTTGTGCATTTCTGCTGCCTGATGTCACTGTTCACCTATTGCTAACTAGAGTGTGTTGGCTTGTTGCCAGACCTCAAGACCAGGTTTTTAGCAGGACCGGTCTTTGTCGTGTCAACTGATACATGGAACCACAGCTAAAGCAGTAACTATACATTCCCTACAGTAGAAATACTGGACTTGTGCACAATTTTGAGGTGCTTCTACTTTACTCGACTATTTAAATTTTATTTGACTTTATACCTCTCCTCCACGACATTTCGGAGGCAATATTCTACTTTTTAACTCTTAATTACTTTAAGATTTTTCATAAACAAAGTATGATCACCTTTCAAATTATGATGCAAAAGACCATTTGTCAATGCTAGTACGTTACTTTAATTTGAAGTAGTCTAAGTGTAATGTTGTGCCTTATTTCAAGTTACTGTCAATTCTTTAGAGTCAAAGTCTTATAAAGACAATGTCTTTATAAGACTTTTGAACTGTTAGAGAAAGAACTGACCGTATACAAAGTAAAGTACCACCTCCACTGACTACAACAGTAAAATGCCACTTGCACATTAATACATCAATACTATTAATACTATTTAATGGGCCGTTCCACAGTACTTTTAATTTATGATACTTTCAGTACATTTTTGCTGAAAATAGTTTATTACTGAAAGGAACGGTAGCATTTAGGGGGATCTATCGGGATAAATGGAATATAATATTAATAAGTATGTTTCTTTAGTGGATAACCACCTGGAAAACAAAAATGGTGCATTTCTGGGCCTCGCTGTCGCATCAATGAGCGGAGGTGCTGATTGTTGTACAATGCCGCCCCCTTGTGGATGAAGGATTAGTGCACATTGACTGAGTCACTGCAGAACCACACAGATGCTGCTTTGATAATCTTTTGATTTCACGAAGAGATGATGTATAACTTAACTCCGATTAAACCTGGTCTCACAAATGCTCTTTATAAAAAGTTAGAAATATGTTTTTTTGTTTTTTGTTAAGACCTTTCTGTAGTATTCATGAATAAATTGCAGCACAAATCAATATATTAAGTTTTAAACTTGATTTTGACCAGTAACATGTAGATATTTCTCAATAAATGAATATGAATATCATATAAATGCCATAAAATGGTTTAATGTTTATCCGATCTCTAGACTTTATTCAGGACTGTCTTCACTCTGAAGATCACTGAAGCACTGGAGCTCATTTTCGTCGCCCTGTATGAAATGGACAGTATAATGTATGGGCTATATATATAGCCCATACATGCTTCAGAATTGCTTTGTTTATTTTTTTGCCACCTGTGAATCTTACAGCTGTTTGATTGCAGTGACACTGAGCTACAGCAGGTGGCGTATTTTCACCACAAACACACACACAGGTACAGTACACACGTTTCCCTCTCTTTTCATGGAATTGAACCAGTGTTTACCGACACCCCCTTCAATTTTACCTTGATTACTCTGTACTTCACGGAGGCCACATGGGGTTTGATGGTTGGTGCACCGGTGCGCGGAGAGATTGTCCGATGTGCTGGAAG